TCAGATAGGGTATAATTCCCGCACTGTCTCCAGTGTTGTCCCCTGCAGGGCTATGGGTCAGCGAGGGAAGTCTTGTCTCGTGGTAGAGCCGGCCCTATGGTCCTCTCTGTGCTTTAGCTGCTCTGAACGGGAATCTTGTCCTCAGGGCTTGGACCAGGATGTGCTCCACTCTCTTCCTCTCCCTTCATTTGCTCCTGTGTGCTCTGATTAGACATGTCCCTCTCCCTGAGCTGTAGCTTCAGGGCTGTCCTCTGAAGTGAATTCTTCTGTGGGGAGGGGAGGCTGTCCACGTAGTTGGTATTGGGGCCCCTAATTCTTTTTATAGCTCAGTTAATGCACCCTACAAGCTACAAGGTTAAGTACCTAAAGAAACAGTCTTATGGACGAGAGAACACTTTTTATTTGGCAAAGCAGTGATTCTCTAGCCAACCAAATCTATTTCTTTTTTTTTTTTTTAAAGCAACCTCCTAGAAAAGGCCACTAATATTACTGGCTGCAGTCGAAGATGCCTTCTTAACAGAGGCTCAACTTAAATCTTCAATTTCAAGATAGATTCTTACAGAACATCATCTTCATCAAGTACCTTTAGTGTGAACTACTAGCAGTGGCTAGAAATCTTTGTGAGGTTTATACGCACACTCACTTCTACCAGTGAAATTTATTATACAATAAGACATTCTTAAGGAGTGGGAATATAAACATTCATACTAAAGGAAGAGAACTATGAATCTGAGGGACACACTGCCCAACATCATCCAGGAATAAGCTGTTGAGAAGGGTCTTCAGGCCGTTTCCTTTCCATTTCACTAATCACGCTGGGGGTGGCATGGGGAAGTGGAGCAAGGATCTCCCCTGGAAACTGGTATGGATTCCCCCGGAAAGTGCAACTTTCTACTAGTCTCATCAAATGAAACTTCAACCCACTAGGAATTCCTAGTTTAATGAAAAGAAAACGGCTTTCCACATATTCTTTGAGAGTGGCCTAATTGATGTGAATTCAAGGTAAAGCAGCTTCCTTTTCCCTCTTAAGCCCCCAAAGCAGCTTTAGTCAAACCAGTTTAGGATTTCCAATGCAGAGAGCATCTACTCTGTGCACTCTCACTGCCACTGAGCTGATGCAAACTCCTGTGGTTTTCCGAAACTCTTAACTGTGGACGGGAGTAGAAAGCCCCATCTTTCTCCTGCAGAGCGGCTGCTGGTTTTGAACTGCCAACCGTGTTCCATGCGATCACAGCTCAGTGTACACAGCTTACGGTAAAAGCAAGTGAACCAAGAAGAGTTCATAAAGTTCCGTGGCTTGGAGGTGGTGGGTTTGTAGAGCTGATTCCATGTCGCAGAGCAGACCCTCCCCGTCAGGTGTGCTTGCCCGTAATCATCACCAGAGTCAGCCCGCTGGGTGAGCACTAGTGCAGCAGTACCAGGGCTTACCGAGCGACCCTTTCAGACAGTTCCTCATGTGATGGTGACCCCAAACCATAACAGTATTTTCGTTGCTACTTCATCACTGTCATTTAGTGACTGTTATGAATTGGGGGACCCCTGTGAAAGGATCGTTCGAACCCCAAAGGGGTCGTGACCCACAAGTTGAAAACCACTGGCTTAAAGTTCATGGTAGAAAGACAAATTTCAGACGAGCCAGTCAGGGTGTGATGTAACAACGATGAAAAATACAACTTTCCTCTAGTTCCTAAATGTTTCCTCCCC